GCTGGCTTCAGTTTTGGCTTCGGTTGGTGCAGCCCGCCTTCCATGTTGGGGCCCAAGGAATGCGGATTGTCGTTGGTTAGAGACGCTGAGAGATATGGCTCAGAATAGAAGCAAGTGGCGCGAATGCTGTACGGTCTACCTGTTGAACTCCCATGCCCCATAAAAAAGCGACGAAAACATCCCAAAGTGTACGATGAAACAAACAAACAAAATGTTCTCGGTTTTGAACTTGACTATCTGACCCCCTTTAAACTGCTTTGTATCCCACCTAACTATTTGTCTGTCATCATTGTGTTGCGTTGGCACCAAGCGTGCTTGCAAGCCGGTGATATATATATATCCATAAACAAACGAAATATTCCAAGCCGTTTCAAACAGGCTTCTACATAGGCGAAACTGATCGATTCGTCCTAACACTACTCATCTGAATACCAAACACCGTTTGACAATTCGATCGCATTTGTCGGTTTCTCGAGGATATATCACACCTCAACCTCTTAAAACCACTTTCAGGATAAATGAATCATGATTTTCTTCATTAAAGAGAAAACGTTTTCTATTACATTCAGACTCGGACTGTTAGAATTTTTTATTACACACTTTAATGTGATATTTTAAGCAGATCCTAGTGAAGTGGGCACCACAAACTGTTCAGGGGAACTATTTTATCGACGTTTTATATAGAGATGTACTTTTCTCCAGGTGAATTTTTGCAGTACGTGATCAATCGCAAACGTGTGAACGCCATTATACGTCCTAAGGTAAGCAAACGAAGTATGCCTACTATGAAATGAAGAATGAACATCTATAGTCGAAAACACGTAGATTTTGCTAACAAGTAGCCACTAATCTCACGTACCAGAAGTAAGCGGATGACAACAATCCAATCCGGCGCACAAAAGTGCACAGTTAATGGTTGTACAAACTGAAACTGAATCGGATAACCCTTCGTGATCGCAACTCATATACGAGAAAGATGAATGCTCCAAGAAAAATATACAGTGATATTTTTGTTCCTTTTTGAAATGGAACCAGGAAATCAATGACAAAGTAGGAAAGAAACGGAATAAGGAAAATTACCGTTCAAGAGAGTTTAGTGAAAACATTTACCAAAGTTTGTGAGGGTGATGAATACGATTCACTGTGGTTCCCTGTTAATCTGATAGGTGGGTATAGCCCGTTTGATATTTCTCTCGGCAGTATCAATTTCTGGACCAGAGATGCGTAGGAATAGTTTGATGACCTCGTCCAACTGATCGTAGATATCCTTGTGCAATTGTTCTTTGTAAACAATCTGATCGGCTTGGTTGTGGTTCTTTTCGAAGTAATAATTCAACGGTTCCAGTATCTCTCGCATATAGAAAGCCAGATCGGGCCCGATACCGGACTGGATTTTGCAAATGCGCTTGAGTACTTCAATTATACGCCTGTTCATTTCGACATTGTCTGAAACGAAAAACACTTAAACGAATGTGTATTTGATGATATGATAATTTAGTGTTGAATAATTTAAGCAACTTGAAATCACTACATAGTGAGGTGTACGCAGATTAAATAAAAGTTCAGAAAAGCTTCACTGTTTCGATATTTATGAAATGGATGTAAGAACTAAATAACATTAGGTTGCCAATATTAGGAAAAATTATTTGATTTTTTGGTTTTACATCACAGGTAAAACCACGAAAATGCACACGCGGAGTCTACGGTTACGCTCCAGAATGAACCGGTGAATATGTACTATTGATGAATCCTAATAAGTGCGAAACTCGAGTGTGTTGTGCTTCTCAAGTACCAGATTCAGAGGGTGACGTAAGAAAAGAGTAAATTTAATGTCTGGATGATGTTCAGCAAAACGGAATATGAAAGTGAGTTGGAATGATGAAGTAGGACATGTCAATGACATTGCCATGCTCTGTGAGAATAAGCAATGAATGCAAACTGACATGTAGCAACTTGCTCCATCTAAATATCTTTTTATAATTTTAGTTTCAGTTTCCCATAATCATTACTAAACATTTTACAATACCCTAGTTTTAATTACTGTCCCTTGACTACCCACTTAGGTGAAAGATGAGGGAATAAAATGAAGATGCATGGAGATAAGTTGATAGGAGGCGCTAATCATTAGTCGGACGTAAGATATCGTTTCTTCCCTTGGGAATACGGTTGCAGTTGCTATTGACATTGAAGGTGAGATATCACTGCAGTCTTTCGCCAACTAGAACAAACTGTCCTGCGTCCTCAATGTCTGTCTCCCTGGGAAAATATGAGGATGCAGTGCCATATTTATTCTCTTTTCCTTCTTCTCGGTCTTTAATGGATACAAAAATGACAACCTTTGATTTTTAAGTTTGTGGNGAGACAATGGTTCAAAAAACATTTCGTTTTATGTTGTTCTATTTATCTTATATCTTTCTACTGTAAGAAAACAAAAGTATCAGTATGATCGTTTTCAGAAATCCCAATCAAGACGTGTGAGTGAAGGAATGACTATGATTTTTAAGTAAAGAAGAAGAATATTATGGTTTGCCAGTGGCTCATGTTTACAGTTGAAACACATGCGTTTGAAAAACCAGATCCACTGCCCGGATTCCATTTGACTTACTCATTGCCATGACCTTCTTTGTAGCAATCGTAATATTAGGCAGAGCATCAATCATTTTTTCCAGGGGACCGTGTTTTAATAAATCCGTGATGGCATTTAGTGCTATAGCGTGTATTGCTCTTTCGTTATCCGTTAACCCCTCGATCAATTCGGGCATCAAGAGAGCGAAATCCAAATTCTGTATTTCAGTCGCCCAAGCCAGTCTCGGTACCGACGGTGAGGATGAGTGGTCCAGGGCAAATGGATATTTTCCACCATGTAAATTTTTCCGAAACACACTTGTACGCAACGGTAAAGTTTCACGTAATTTGGATGGACATCCAATATCCCAAATAGCTTGTTCTGCTCGATAATCAAATGCTCGTTGGCACTTCGTACATTGCGTATCGTTAGTCCCCAGAAGTGGATATCGGCGTGGCATTTGTATCCGCAACTCAGTAAATACCAACGGTGGGGTCTGTAGAATGTGGTAGAGAATTCCCAAACAGTCAATGATAATTTTGAAAGCAGCCATTGATTGAAACACGTGACATGGATGGGTAGGTCTGTTCATGTGCTAACTTATCCAGAGGCATTTTGGTTTTTTAATTGGTCTTGTCTAACAGTACTAAGGTTTCTTAAGCTTTGGTTTACAGCGAAGAATAAGTAAGTCCCAGGAGTCCACTTCTGATTTATCCCAGGTCATCTATTGCACGAATGTAAATGCGATAAAAAGAATAGAACTCCAATTTTGCATTGTATTTGCTAAGGAATTTGTAATAACATAATAATATACTTATTGTTTAGAGACGAATAATGACCGAATTAAAGCACCATTGTTACGGATGAGGGACCAAGACAAAAGTCCTATTGCAATATTGGACCTATAAAACGAAAGGTTTAACGTCTAATACAGCACCAAAGAAAATTTGCATAGCGTTTTTAGCTACACGAGCAGAAATCGTTTTACCGAATCAGGACCAGAAAGGATGTGTTGAATACTTACTAGAATAGCAAAAAAGCATAAGACAATAAGATATACGAGGGATCAATATAGGGATTATTATGGAATACAAAACTCTGAAGTGCGTCTTATAGAAACGTACATGCATACATACATACATACATACATACATACATACATACATACATGCATACATACATACATACATACATACAGGCCTACATTCTGGATGATTTTTAATCAAGGTTGAGGATGTCTTTGAACTCAGTCACAACCGCAGTACAAAAAAGCTGAATGCCTGATTTGTTTTTCAAGCAATAATCATCAAAAGCGGTGAAATGAATCACCCGTTTTAGTCCAAATGTATAAAGCGCTGATAAATATACGCACTTGTGACCTCACTCATTGCTGCGGGAGACGGGAGTCGGAGTCTGGGAGGGTACTGTTGCATGACATGAAAATAATCAGTTTCCCCAAAGTTGACTATGTGTCTGCACTCTGACTCAAGATGCTCTGTCTACATGAAGGAAAGATGGAAAATCTTGACCTAATTCGACTGATCAGGTAACACATATGTGAGACGCTGTACTGTGCGACGACGAATATACAATACCTAGATATATTCGCTTTTTTTCTTGTAACCGATCTGATCTGTTGTACTAAGTGTAAACCAAACCCTAAATGACATAGGGCGTGGTGCCCGTGATATCACACGGGTGAATTCAATAAAGTAATCCAAAATTAGTTTATCCATTCGCTTGAGAGGTTGGTTGGCCGTCGTTTGTATGCCTAAATAATAAACATTTCCGCTCACATCGAGAGGGTTCATAAATCAACACCTGGTATTTCTTGCGTCACATTAAGGATAAAGAAACATATTGTACGAACAGTCGTTGATTTCATTATTTCATTATTGAAAAGGCAATCGTGGAGAATAAATCTAATATCAGAAGTAAATTGGAAGATAGAAAAAAGGGAGAATGCACAGAGTCTAATACCTGTTTAACGGTATCGGTTCGTCTGAGAACGATTTTATGAACAGGGTTTTAATTCTGGTTTGCAGTCATTTACAGACTATCAAGGGTACTATTTTATTGAATAAAACTGGTAATATGCACGGAAGTGAATCCTATAATTGGGCACAAACTATAGTAGCATCGTGATTCATGTACAACAGAGAAGCAAGTCATCAACCGGTATTGGCCGTATAGGCCTTCAGCAGGTAGCCAACCAATAATGAGCAAGCACGTGGTACAGTCGGGTCAATATAATCAAGACCGAAGTGTGAAGAACGTCCATTCCACGTGCGTGTAAGCTTACGTTTATATGTGCGCATGTATGTATACATCGAGAGCCGCGTGTTCAATGTACAATGCAATGTACAAAAGAGTTAGACCATACAGCAGGTAATATGTTTGCAAGTTTTATATCACAAACGAAATTTTTTCTATGAATTATATTTTTTACTATAAGCTATCTTCTCAGAGTCATGCATGTAGGTGACGTAATCAATAACTCGTCAATATCAAAACATTTTCAATAATGTTTTGTGAGGTGATTCCACTTTTTATTTCTAATTCTTTTAAACAAAGATAGAGTGGCGGTTCTCTTGCCATTCCATGATCTTATTCATACCAAACTATCTACCTTTTGGTTGTGACAAAATTCAATGTCTCGAAGGATTACGAAACGTAATCATTTAGGTTATGAATTTTGGATCAGTGAATTGAGGAAATTATGAGTAATTCAGCTCTCAAAGTTTGATCCATAAACCATAATCTGTTGATGAATTGAATTCTCTTTATTAATTAGAATATTGTTTACTTTTGTTGGCGAACTGGTGGAACGAATTGGAGCAAAGTATGTTAGGACATGGTAGCTCATCCTGACTGTTATTGGCAACTTTATCATGATCAAAATATTACATTGCTTTAAAACAGTTGGGAATTTCCCTCGATTTCAAGACATCTAAGACAAAAGAAACTTTGTTTCAGCTGACCCCAACGGAAACAAGTAATATGTTTTCATCATCTATTGATAATGGGTCGATCGGCGAAAAGAGAAACCGTGAACACTGATAAACGAGCAAGTATTCAACCATTTGATGTCGTCACCAATCCGTTTCCACGATTCCGAGCATGTCATGCTGCTTTGAGCAAAACTCGTTTGCGAAAACGAAGCTCGTCTGCTGATGGACCTGTCCAAGCAAAATTCGCGAACTCAGCCAAAGACTATTTGGAACGACCGGAACCCGCGATTCGTTGTATTTATCGTAATTTACTGTTAAAAGATAATGTGATCATTCAAACCGCGCAGACCACGAATTGCGTTATAGAGATTTTGCTCAGGCAGTTGGCCTTGATGGGTCAGGAGGTGGATGGAGCCTTGTTCGACTTGGAAAGTAACACCGAGACTGCGCGTGAGATATTTGGACCCAAGTTAGCTCCAGCTTACGAGAATCTTGTACAGTTAATTCGTGTTATTTTACCAGCAGTAACAAAATGTTCGTTAGCAAGACACACATTTGTTCAGCTACTCACGCATTGGATGTTTGTTTGTCGCATTCATCTGCGTAGAAGCTGGTTACTCTGTCAACCAAAGCGTCGTGGTTTATTCAACGCTCAACGTGATGTGCTTCCACTGTATGAGTTGTTAGTCAGACGAACCTACCTTGATTTCATGCTCAAATTCACACATGGTGAGCTTTATGAACCAGTCGAAGACGGGCTCAGTGATATCCGGGATATCCGAGACGCACGTGATTGTGATCCGCGACGGGCACAAAGGCTATATGCCTTGTTATTAAAACTTCTTCGACGCAAACATGCTCCCTCGACAAGGGACAAAATGCGCAGTCCGAGTGTCTTAAATCTGATCGTCCTGATAGAGGCCGAATGGAGTTGGGCCAAGCGAGCTCTTACGCGTATGGACGAAATGTTACGTGAGACTTTTGAAGGCGTTTCGACTCGGTCAGACACCACAGATATCATCAATCGAACACCTTTGTCTGTGCCGATTTACAACGAACCATTGGAATTGGCATCTGCTGTAGCTGGGCTGTTGTCCCTTATTATTATACTCTTACTTTTGTTAGGACTCATTTGTCTGTCTGAACAACCATACTTTCGGAATCTCGGTTTTCAATTACGTATCCGAGTTATAGATACCTCTACTTCAGCCATTCGCCAAGTCATTCTTTCGTACTGCTTTCTGGCCCCATTTTGCGTTTATCTCAATTTGAGGTTACGTCTACGGCTGACCGATTTAATCATCAACCGGATGGGTCTAATTCAATGGTTTTTCAGTTCCAATTACATTCGAGCGAAAACCTGTTTCTCCGAAATTGATCCCAGGTATCGTGCTCCAATGCATAAACTGCAGTTTGAAATCTATTGGACTTGGAATACGATTGTCCTCTTTGAACAACGTCTTCATACTCTCTGTCAACAAATTGCAAAAGAATTAGCTCATTGGGATATGCCATTCCCGTTGGAGTATCTGTGATATCAGTTAAATTCCAGCTGTTATTGTCGTCGGTTTATTTACTACCACCGACCGGATTGCTTATTCTATTTTGATTCAATAAAGACGGGTATGAAATAAACAATGATCGATCCAAAGGAAAGGACTTGATCCGTCAGAGTGAAATCTTTCGCATTTCATTCTCCAATGGTTTTGCTCACTCAAAATGAATTGTTTTCATTTAAACCGGTAGTAAATACAAATTTGATTTATCTCGTTCTTGTTCCGTCGTATTAAAGAAATACCATCGAGAATACCAAACGTGGAATATATTTGATTTGCAGGTTAAGAATAGGCCGAAAGGTAGGTTCACACGACCAATTTTAGCACCATGATTGTGTTGATAAACATCGTGGATGATTTGGTACCTAAACCTCTGGAATTCAAGCGCGAAAAGCATGTTGCGTAGGTCACTTAGTTTACGGATTGAAAGGTAGAGTTGGGAACGACGCAACTGCTAGGCACATTGACCAAGATTTTATCAAAGCGCTAGCACTCTGGATGGCGGGCTTTTGACCAGTGAAATTGAGGGGAATGGATCTGTTATTCTTGTGCGAAAGACACCACGGCTTAAGGCCAATTGTCTCAGGCTTTGCTACCGTGTAACACTGACTGCTGTCCTTCTTGGTTAGATTCGTTAGATGGTAACGAACGACTATCAATCTACTGAATGGCGTTTACCTAGTGTACTTTTACATGTGTCATTTCTTTCAAGTCAGAGCTCACTTGGTTGGTGCTCTCTGATTCGCTTAGGGAGTTGCTTTTTCATTCAACTTATATAAGCGGTAGTACAGATTCACCTGTATTTTAATTAGTATAGCAGAAGTCGACAGTGGCAAACTAACCTCATTACTGTACCGGATTACTTCACCACTAGGACGACGAGGATATATATGAGGATACTGGTTAGCATCATCAAGTGAAAGGTTTTTATCTTTCGTTACAACTCATTAAATTCCCTGTCATTTTACGAGAATACCTTTTGTAAGCTTTTTCAAATGTTATCAAATGCATCAAGTGGTTTATTGGCTGTGAGAAAATTGAGCATTTGAGAGGACAGAAAGGTGAGATGTCCCCTTTTGGACCGTTAAATTTTGAAGCATCCACTTGTCCTTTCTGATCCGTCTCAGCACAGATCACCCCACTGGACAGATTCTAAACGCAGTTGTATCGGAAGATCTTGCACATCAAATACACCCCGTGACTCCATCTGTTGTTTCTCTGATTTGCGTAATCTGCTGCAGTTATTCAGTAGATAAAGCGGGAAACCAAACTTGTTCGCCACATGTTTTCTGATACATCTTTCGGACATTACAGATGACCATCAAATGAAAAAGTGAAATTTCATCAAAATATCTTTAATTTTAAGGAAAAAATAAGTAGAAGAAAAAAGAATTGTCACCATGGCAAAATTGTCGCATCTCCCAAAAGCGTTTGCTATTCGTG